GTCTCTAGGCTTTTACTTCACGCGTGCATCCTTTGTAGGCTTTTGTAGTTGTATGTAAGGACCCCTCGAGGGCTGTTGTACATGGATTTTTATGAATATGAATATACTTCCTTAACTTATGCTTTCGATTCTTGCCTTATTATTACATGGTCTCGTGCCCTTCGAGGCCGTTGAATGTTTTCCTTTGTTGCTGACTGCTGATATCTAACTCGGATGCGAGCGTCCTTTCCGTTCCTCTACTAATTGATGTGGCTCTTTTCCGAGCCCATCGTCATACCTCGAACCAAGCCCGAATTGATCCGATAGGTTCGGGCTGTCAAGCCCTCCGAGTTGCATGGAGATAATACGCTGAGTTTTGGAGTTTACGAGAATGGTAACCTGAGTGAAGGTCAGTTTTGGGTACCTGGGGTTCTCTTTTGAACTTGATGCATATAGCTTTTTAAATCATAGGGGATAGACTTCTGTTGAGGGGTTTCCTGTACTCAGGCTCCGCCTCGAACCTTCCCGGAGCCTTCGTAATCGGAGCTTCACATACTTATTTTTCTTTTAGAAAAGGGAACCATTAGATCGGGTACCGCCTTGAGTCGAGTGATGGCGTTGAACGCTTCCCGGGGCTCACTCCGAATAGGTGAATCGTCGCTGTTTCCCGCATATATGTGGGGAGTCTTAGACTTCTTCAAAATGACTCACTATTTTAGATAGCTACTCTTCCGCCTTGGCATAGGGTTCTTCATTTCTTCAGGCGCAAAAAGCGTTGGTGCACGTTCTTGCTTTAGTCTATCGATTCTACTATAGCCATGACAACTACTTCGAGGCCGGCCCGCCAGGGATTGGGGAGTGCCACTCTCGGCGCTCAGGATCCACAGGAGTTCACTCTGAAGATCATGTCTTTGATAAAAGAGGAACATCTGGAGATGGTGAGGAGATACTATAGATGGAGCGAGGGGATAACGTTGTAGGTTCTTTCCCCGAATGAGAGCATTACGGACTCTGCTGATGGATTCTTGAGCGTATACCTATATCCTTTCGCATTTGGCCCCCTTGATAGGGTCGTGCTTGATTTTTGCTTGAAGTATCAGGTTACTTTGGCGCAGATACATCCGTCATTTTGGCGAGTAGTGCTGATGATGAGGTCCTTTGCGGAGAAGGCTGGGCTTGAATTCACGCTCAGTCACCTCGTCAGGCTGTACCGGCCTTTTCATCACCAAGGCCTGCTAACATTGCGGTGCCGTTCGTCCATGCCCTTTGTTGTCGATGACGAAGAAGATAGGGATCGTGAGTGGGGCCGGTTGGTCTGTCTGGGTCCAGGTGGCTGATATCATCCTCGTGGAGCTCATGCCATTTCCTGAGGGATGGAATTACGCACGTGAGTCAAGTGTCTGGCGTTTTTCAGATTTTCCTTATAGCAAAAAGTTGGTTGACTAATTGTGTTTCTCCCTTTTTACAGCAACTTCATGGACGCCGGGCGAAGTTCTCGATCTGCCCGGCTGGGTCCGGAGGTTGGTGACCCATTCAACCTGCGATGAGCGTAGGTGGCGAGCTGTATTACGTATCAGATGGGGAGCGAGATACCAAGGTATGCGCGCACGCTATCTTTGCCTTCGTATATTTGAGATGACATTTTCCCCTTTATTTTGTATCGGCTTTGCCGCTGTAGGTACTGGGCGGTTCCTTGGGATGAGGCATTGCTCTTCTAAAGAGGGGAAGGAGTCATCTGCTTCCGAGCTGAGGGACGATGGCGATAAATGGGATTTGTACCTGCAGTGTTGTGGAGCTTTTAATGGGGCTCAACGGGCACGTACCTTTGATGAGGTGGCATCACCCGAGCCTGCTGTCCCTGGAGTGTTTGATTCCAGGATGGTGGTTCCTCTGAGTGAATATGCTTTGCCCGAAGTTGACTCTCCCGGGGCCGAAGGAGCAGGACCAACAGGAATGTGCTCACCTTCGAGGAAGTCCACCGGCTTCACTTCATGGTGAGTTTCGGCGCAGTTATCCCGATATTTCGCGTCTTTCGTTCTTTATTGAGCTTTTCTTTTGCAGGTCTTTGATATGCTCAGGTCTAAACTGTTCCGTCAAGGGTCCAGTCTTTGGGAAGCTCTGGACGAGGGTGAGTCCTTTAAGCTCCTTAGCGAGGAGAAGGAGGTTGAATTGATGCATTGACAATATGAGGCGTACCAGAGCTTTAATTACGAGAGCTACTTGATGGAGCATGTAACCCTTTTTAGTACGCGCTTCGCTCCTTTTGACTCTTAAGGTTAACCCCTTTTTCCTATCTTAGTTGCTGAAAAAGACGGAGGCCTTGGAATACCTTAAGGGTGAAGCCGACAGCGTCAGGAATGTTTGCGGTGAACTAAGGACTCAGGTGCAAGCTCAAGCTTTAGAGGAGAAAAGGGCCTCAGCCAAGGTTCCCGCCTTCGAGGTCCAACTCTGTTTGGCTTGTGAAAATGCTTCAGTTCAAGCAGATGTGATCGCAAAACTCGAGACCCATCTCTCAAAGGTCAGGGCTGAGATAACCGATGCTCGGGCTGAAGCATCGTTGAGTCGAACCAAGGCTGATCAGGAGATGGCGATTCATATGAAAAATGCTGCTGACGCCTAGGCTGAGTTGAAACGGGCCCTCGATTGTGAGAAGAGGATCGAAGAATATGTTCGTTATAGATCCCACAGAGAGGTACTCTAGGAGGTCGGCGCTAGGGGCTTCGTTCTCTCAAGGGAATTGGCTCGTGCAAGGGAGGACGAGAGCGATGCTCGGTTACATCTTGCTGACATCTCGGAGAGCGAATCTGGGGCTGGTAGGCCGTAGCCTTTTGGAGCGGAGCATAGATTCCATCATTTTTCAATTTTGTATTTGATATCTGCAGAACATGTTTGTAGATGGAGAGCGCGCCTTTCGCGTATATAAAACAAGGGAAAATTTGAAGCTTTATCTCTTTCATATACCTTTCTGCATTGATTTTGACCAGGCGGGCTGGTTTCGGTGTTTGACAGGAACCTCGTAGGTCCGGAGCTAATTAGGCAGGCCTGGAGGCTTTTAAGCCCGACTTTTGTCGTAAGTAGGCATTGGGGCCTCTGTGCTTTTCCCAACTGTTTAGGCTCAATCTTTGAGCCCGACCTTGACTCAAGCTTACCATACCCCCAGTCTCTTGTGCCTGCATGAGCGGATGATAATCATTTTTATTTCTCACCCCCGGGCGTTTATTGTTTCCAGTATTTTGGGTTCAGTCTCCGAGTCGCGTTGCGACTCAAGCTTCAATTGACCCTCAAATTTTTTTGTGCCTGCATGGGCGAATGATGATGGTTTTTATTTCTCGCCCTTGGTCGTTTGTTGTTTCAACTATTTTGGGTCCAGTCTCCGAGTCGCATTGCAACTCGAGCTTCAATTGACAAATGAATGGTGTGAGAATATCGGAGTGACAAGTGATAAAGCGTAGAAATTAAAATACTCCATTACACAAGAAATGAATAGAAAAGCATTATTTAGGAAATACATTAAGATATCTTTGTTTGAAGGGGAGCTTTGGCGTAATTGATAAAGTTACAGCCATGTAATCAGGAGGTCACGAGTTCGAGCCGTGAAAACAGCCTCTTGCAAAAATGTAAGGTAAGGCTATGTACAATAAATCCTTGTGGTCCGGCCCTTCCTCTAGCCCCGCTCATAGCGGAAGCTTAGTGCACCAGGTTACCCATTTTATTAAGATATCTCTAGTTAATGACTAAATTAATATAACAATAGAATTGTTTGCTATATGATTATTAGTGTATGATTTTTTGTTTTTGGCCTTGGCAATAGATGTTCTAACGCGCAACATTCAAAGGGAGGTGTCATGATGAATGTTATTTGCGGATGGCATAGTACTGATTGACGAGACGCGAGGTAGTATTAACGTGAGGCTGGAGGTTTGGAGATAGACCCTGAAGTCAAAAGGTTTCAAGTTGAGTAGGACTAAAACAAAGTACTTGGAATGCAAATTCAGCGGCGCGAATGAGGAATCAGACATGGAAGTGAGACTTGATTCGTATGTCATCCCGAAGAGAGAAAGCTTCAAGTACCTCAGGTCTATAATCCAAGATATTGGGGGATTGACAAGGATGTCACACATCAGATTGATGTTGAGTAGATGTAGTTGAGGCTTGCATCTGGGGTTTGTATGCTAAGAATGTACCATCAAGACTTAAAAGTAAGTTATACAGGATGGTAGTTAGACCGACTATGTTGTATGGGCAAGTGTTGGCCTGTCGAGAACACCCATATCCAGAATCTAAATGTAGCAAAATATCGAAATGGATGTGTGGGCATACTAGGAGAGATAAGATTAGGAATAAAGATATATGGGACAAGGTGGGAAGATGAGATAGTACGGGCATGTGAAGAGGAGGTGCATAAATGCCCAGGTGAGGAGATGTGAGAGGTTGGTCATAGTGGGGCTGAGGAGAGGTAGAGGTAGGCCTAAGAAATATTGGGGAGATGATTAGGCAGGACATGACGCATCTGCAACTCACCGAGGATGTAACCCTTGAGAAGGGGGAGTGGATTTTGAGAATTAGGATAGAAGATTAGTCGGTCGGTATGCGTGTCTCTTTTTCATGCCGATAGTATTAGTATTAGTCTCATATTTTTGTATCTGATTATCCGCAGGTTTCTTTTATTATATGTTATCTCTTTAGCTTCGGCTATTCTATCATCTTATCTTGTTGTTTTTTAGCCTCGTATTTCCGTATTAGCCTTGTTAATTTTTTATCTTGCCGTCATTACTGCTTGTTGTTTTTTATTCCTTTTTATTTATTTTTCTTGAGCTTAGGTTCTGTCGGAATTGAACATTCTACCTTCACCGGACCCCATTTTATGGATGATACTGGATTTGTTGTTGTTATTATTGATTTTTTTTGTTTGATGAAAAGATGAAATTCCTAATAATAATAAGGATGATCCTCAATCATGGACATGGGTACAGTCAGATTTTCCAACTAAGTAGGAAGTGAAAGTGATAATTGAGACTGACCTGAGAGGACAACCAAGTCAAGAATGTTCAATCCCTTAGGCTGGTAGAATTCGAGCAAATCAGTAATCTTCTCACGGCCCATTGGAACCAAATCAGCTTCATTGGCATAGGAAACTCGGCCATCTTTCCTGCCATAAGGCACCATCCAGAACGGACCTCCTACTGCAATTGTGGCATCTCTTGCAGCCGCTGTTAGAATATAAGCACATGACACTGTCTTTGGGCACTTCTTCTCCACTTCTCTTTTGATGTCATCAATCACTTCATACCCCCTTTAATGACTTGCTTGCCTTGGCTTTCCTCTCACTTCCTTTGTGGTCTATTAGTATTGAAGCATCACATCCCTACCATAGATTAACAGGTATGATTCATGGGGAAACAAAAATGCCAATTACACAACTTTATAAGATTTTACACCATCTATGTCATTATTGGCAAAATCGGTTGAGCATGTCTTTCTTATTTTCCAACTCAAAGAACATTAAGCTTGTTCCAAATTGTAAAGAGAAAATTGGATTATATACACACCTAAACTGTTCCAGAATAAGCTAACTGGTGAATACTAGGGCATTATCAATTATAGTAGTGATAGAAAATTTTCAAAAATTGTCGGATAATTACCATAAAAACATGAAATAGTGTTGCTGTTTGCACCCGACTTTTCATCTTGACGTTAAGTTTTAACTTTCCTAGGTTCCAATATGCGATATTTTTATTTCGGCAGAAAGATCCAAACTTTGAAGTTTATGGATTTCTATAGTGATATCAAGTTAATATATAATATTAGTCGAAAGACCTGATTGAGTTCCAAACTAAATATTCTTATATATTTTGTGAATATTTTAATACAAACACAAGGTGCGAGCGAAAATTACTGGATTCACATGAAGGGGCAAGTGCACAGATAGCATTTTCAGGTATGCTATTTTAAGATTAGTCAATACTTATTTTGTTCTGAAATTTTAAACTAAATTCTTAAATTCAGGTAAATTCAAGACAATTTTGTCCTGAAAATTTGAACTGAAAAACTGAAATTCAGGACGGACTGACTAATTTCTAAATAGCTAGTGGTGCCATTTCTACTCACATGAACCCATATAACCCAATTATTTCCGTTTCTATACAATTTGCAGTTTTTAAGAATATAAATACATTAAATTATTCAAGTTTAAATATTAAGGTGATGTTTTTCTTTATATATATATNGCAAAACAGAGTGATTAAGTAGGAAGACTTACCCTAACGGAGCAGTCATGGAAATGAAACCTCATGAGGGCAGCAGCAAGTGTATAATCCCTGGTGACCCATTTCTTGACATTTTGGTGCACAATTCTCTCGAGATTCGGACACCTCCGATGATAGTAATCAAAAGACAAGGCATCCGATATTAGTCCAGCAGTGACAGCTACGAGGAAGGAGTTCAGAAAGAGCAACGCAATGATAGTAGAACTTGTCTTCATTTTAGGTTAATTTGGTTTGTCTGATTACTCTACTCTTGTCTATGTATAGTGGTATGAATGATATATTAGGTTGAGGATACGTGACACCCACCAAAAAATTCATAGTCTAGGACGTGCAGACATGTAGGATAATTAATTATTTGACTTAAGTAGTGCTGTCCGCACGCGAGAGTGATCTTTCATGGACTATTCATAGGAGACATGATTTCACTAAATGTCATGTCAACTTAGACATAGTAGCAAGGACTAAGAAGGATATGCTTCCCAAACTTTTATAATGCACAGCTTGTTGCAAAGATAATTAACTGACTTCTATTAAATGCCTTTTTGTACAAATCAACTAGCTAGTTGCTCTCATGCCTTCACATAACCGTGGAAATCAAGTTTTCCTTAGTTGCTCTCATGCCTTCACATAACCGTGGAAATCAAGTTTTCCTCAATTTTCTCATAAATAGAATGACATTTAATCTCAATGTGTTTTTTCTTTTATGATACATCGGATTTGAGGCGATACAAAACGCAACTTGATTATCACACTAAAATTTTGTTGGTGTAGTATGTTTCAATGCAATTTCAGTGAGAAGGTGATACATCCACATAATCACGTATGTCATCTATGTCATAGCTCTATACTTGGATTCTGCACTGGCCGTGAAACAATATTTTGTTTCTTATTTCTCTATGATACCACATTCCCTTCAAAAAGACACAATAGCTTGAAGTATATCTTCTATCAATTTGGATCTAGCCTAGTCAGCATCTGCGAAATACTCAACATGAGTATAGTCGTGATTATTATACATTATGCCAAGTCCACGAGCTCATTTCAAGTAACATAGAATCTATCCCAAAGTAGCCCAATGTTTGACTATAGGCGCAGACATAAATTGGCTAACGATACTTGCTACATAAGCAATATCAGAACGAGTCACGTTAAGGTAGTTCAATTTTCGATCTAACCTCCTTTATCTCTTCGGTTCATTAAAGTGAGCGCCATCATCTTTCATAAGGTGCACATTGATAACAATTGGAGTATTGCAGGGTTTGGCTGTTTTCAGTTTCTGCGAGTAGGTCGAGAATATACTTTCTCTGACAGAAGAATTCCATTCTTGCTTCTATTTATTTTTACTCCCAAAAAATATTTCAACTGGCCCTAGTCCTTTGTATGAAACCTAGTATGCAAAAAAGATTTAAGGGAAGACACCCCTGCATAATTACTTCCAATGATGACAATGTAATAAACATACATAACAAGAAGGATAGGCCAATCGCCAATAGCCGGTAGAAGACTAAGTGATCGCATTTGCTCATTTTTAACCAAACTTCTGAACTACCTCACTAAACTTGTCAAACTAAGCCTACGGACTATACTTCAATCCATACAAGGATTTTTTTTCAAATGACAGACTTTTTCATACTCTCATTCAGCAACAAAATTGGATGGTTGCTTGATGGTAGGCTATAATTACGTATTTTAGTTGCTTATCATACTCTAATTTACTGCACTTTTATTGTGTTTGAGCTTTAATCACTAGTATTTTAAACTGAGTTATGTAGATATTGCGGAATTAATTCGAGCTATTTAGAGCTTTGAAGTCTGAGTAAAAACCCAAGGAATTAAGCCGGTATCGTATTCGGGAATCGAGGATCAATTCCGGCCGTCAAAATCCAAGAAAGAAGCAACTGTTGAAGAAATGCAGTGCAAATTTTGTCAGAAATTTCCAAAGCTTAGAGACTGAGTTTTTTGTGGTCTGACAGGAAAAAGCATTAGTGTGACGCAGTGGGCGACACATGGCAAACACTAAGTTTGCAAGTTTTCCTATTTCGTCTAGGAAAGGGAGATTTCATCTAGGCCTGACCCTACTTGCTATAAATACACGAAAAAACTTTTTTTTAGGGATTTTTGACACACTTTAGACCTAGAGACACACGAGGAACATTCGGGAGGAAGGATATCTCAGATTTCTTCATCGGTTCTTAGTATTTTCAATTATCCAATACTTATGAATTTGTTTGATACTAGCATGAGTGGATAAACTCATAGTTCTGGGGTTGCGATTTGGCTATGAATATTGTTGTTTGAACTTGATTTAGCCTTGATTATAATTCACTAATACATGGTTGTTTATTCAATTCTGTGATTAATTGCTTAATTGTCTGGCCAGCAGTTAGGTTATATTTACTATATATGTTATGCTTGGGAAAGCCATGTTTAGATTAGAGAAAAATTAAAAAGAGCACGATCTTAACTCTGAGGGGAGCATATTTGTGGTTAGGATAGTGTTTACCATGAAAATGTTAATAACAATTAAATTTGTTGATAGGACTCTAAAAATACGTGATCTATTTTTATGCTAGTTGTTAAAGCACTTGATGCTAGATATGTGAAGATATTAGATGAAATGCGAGCTAAAATATAGTTATAATAAAATTAAGGGGTTAGTTGTCCGAGCCTCGGATTAACCGATGAGGGGCCTCGAGGTTGATGCTTGGGCTCGGGATCAAGCTATCGGGGATAATCGGGAAGGGGCTAATAGTTAGGATATAATCAAGGGAGGCTCTTTATGTCCAGTAACAAGCAATAAATGAATAACAAATATGAAGGCAATTAATATGAGCAATAATACCGAGAGAATATGTTGGAGAGAAGAGAGAGAGAGAGAGAGAGTTGTTATTTATCTTGTGTAGAATGGTTGGAGCAACAGGATTTACAAAGTGCCATGGATTCCCCTTGTACAGGAGGAAAAATCCCAACATAGTACAAGATATATTAATTGTAAAGGTATGGAGATGGGACAACCAGATGTGGCGCCAGGCTCTGCCAGTGCTATCTGCTTGCCTTGGGACTTCCCCATCCTCGGTATCGTTGTTGGGTCGAGCGTAAATGGGCATCGAGGGAGAGAACTCGACCACAACCGTGCAGCCTCGATATCTCGAGATGACTTTCCGAAACACCTTAACGATGAGGAAATGGACACTCTGATTTTGCCGTATACAGATAGTCTCCGCATTTCCTGGAACGAAGTAATGGAAAACGATTTTGAGCCGTTGTTCTGAGGGCATCATTGCCGTGACGTCAACCTATAAGAGCATTAAATGCCACATTGCAGAAAACCGTGCAAGGGTCGCCGTCAAATGCGATTATCGAGGTACCCACAAACTGCTATTGGCTCATCCTTTCCGCTTCCCAAGCAGTTCCTATAAATACATCGACTGTTTGATAATCCTCATCTTCGTAGCATCTTCAAATTCACGAGTCCATAGCCATCTTCTTTTACGCTCTTCCATCTTGCGTTCTGAGAGAAAAGTTTACCACTGCTATGGCCAGGACTTCTAGAATGGTTCCTCGGTGGAATGAAGCCGTATCTTCATCTCGGTCGTCTAAGGAGAAAGCCAAAGCGGTACCCACCTTGGAACAGTGCACTCCCTCCAAGATTGATATGTCAACAAATTTTACCGTCGATACTACTTCATCCACACCGGGCTGATATGAACGTGTGTCCCGATACATTAGTGTCATGACCAACATCGAAACAGTGAGGACAGAATGCCGATGGGGCGAGGTAGTGGAGGTGGAAATTCCCGGCCCTAATGAAAATATAACGGACTACAAAGCCAGCTTCCTTCATGTGTATACCTACCCGTTCACCTTGGGTCCTGCCGAGTCCTTCGAGTCTTCTAAATCTTCTCCCCCGGAAATAGATCCAGTTATCTTTGATTTTTGCGACAAATATCAAGTGACGCTCGGCCAGATATATCCCGCTATCTAGAGGATAGTATTGATTCTCTGTGATTTCACCGAAGTGGTTGCGGGAGAAGTTTCTACCCTCAACCATTTGATTAGGTTGTACAACCCTCGATTTTATCGAGGTTTGATTAGGCTCCGCTATCGATCCAAAAATCATTTTTCTCGAGCACCGATGAGGGGAAGGATCGAGGATGGATGAGCAAGTTCGTCCGGGTAAGGACCTCGGACATCATTCCGGCCCAAAGGATGCCTTTCTTGGAGAGATGGAACACATAGCGTAAGCGACTCTCCCTTAACCGTGTTTTGTAATTTCCTTCCCTTTCCCCGCGGAATGATGACCTTTTTGTCGTTTCACGCAGCCACTACTTGGTACCCTGAGGCAGTTTCGGACCTGCCGAGGTGGATCAAACGGTTGGACACTGCATTCCCATATCATGTTCGGTATTAGACCGACCTGGACAAAGAGTGATCGGTGGCCAAGAATCATGGTAGAGCTTCTTTGCTGTCTATGTCTTAGATTTGCGTTTCTGTGTATTCTCCCTACGCCCCTTGTGCTGACAAATTATGGTTATCATGCTTGTGCAGGCCTTGGCAAAAATATGGAGATGAGGCCACCCCTAGTGGTGGGACGGAGGCTTCGGAGCCTGGAAAGGGCAAGAAGAGAGAAGGCAAGGCGGTTGTTGACCTTCCTATGGCAAAGAAACCTAGGTCACTCGAGCATCAAGCCGCTGCTAGGACCTCTACTTCGACTTCAGGGGCAAATCTCGGCGCCGAGGATGCGGATGACGATGAATGCTAGTTAGCACAGAGGACGAGGTCGAGTGAGGGAGCCTCGCAAGTGCCTCGCTTGGAGGCTGATGATTCTGGAACGACCGACTCAGGTCTGTCTCGTAAATCGGAGACCCTTGAGGAGGGTGTTAATGTGGCCTCGGATCGTATGAACGAGTTTGGCATAGTTTCCGCTGGGGGGGGGGACTNGCCATCGATCCTGAAGGGTCGGTTCCCGGAGTTTTTCAGGAGCATGAGTTGCCTTTTGGAGAAATCGGTGACATGAAGGATTTCATCTCATGCTTTCAGGTCTCGTCAGGGGAACTAAGGGACGCTCGAGAGGCGAACACCGTCAAAGCATGGATTCTTTTCCAAGGGGGAGGCCCCCTTGCCAGCATCTTTGATGGTGTTAGCGATAGTGTCGGTCTTGACGTTCCTGGCGCCGTCAAGGCGGCGTAGAGATTCATGAAA